GGCCCTCCCGCCCCCCTCAAGCCCCCTCGGCGCTCCTCCTTTGTGTGGCTCCCCTGGCCGCGCCTGCCCATTCATTCCCCGCCCCGCCCGGCCCCAAACTTACGCCCCAGCTTGAGTCCCGGGAAAGCGACCGTCGAGCTGGTCCCGCCTCCCCCCGGCCCAGGCCCGGCAGCCCCCCCGGGTTTGCCCCCCGGCGCTGCCCCCGAGGTCGGGCCGGGCGCGGTGGGAGCCGTGGCGGGAGCCCCTCCGGGCGGGTCTGCGAAGGAGCTCGTTCGGGGCCGGGAAGAACCGGCGCTGCCGCTGCTCATGGTGAGGCCGACACCGGGGAAAAGGGAGGGGGGGCCGCGCTGGCTGGCTCCGTCTGAGGCGGCTCGGGAGCCGGCCCTGCCCGGCCCTGTTGCAAGAGCCGACGGGAAATGGAGTCTCGGCCGCGGCCCGCCTACTTAGCGGTTACCGAAGGGAGAACTCGATTTCCCAGAAGGCGTCGCGCGAGCGATGGCCGTAAGCGCGGCGGCCGAAAGGCGCGCTGGGACGGAGAGTCCTCTCATTCCGCAGCCCTTCTGCAGCCGGCCGGGCTCAGGACTACAAGCCCCGGTGCGCCTAGGAGCCGAAGCGAGGGAGCGTGGGAAACGGAGTCCTGCTCTACCTAGCGCATAATACGGACTTGACGGGAGGGAGACTGCACTTCCCGGCATCCGTCGCGCGGAGCCTGGTCAGCCTATCGCGCAAGAGGCAAGGGGAAAAGATTGGAGTTCGGCTCCTCCCAAACCAGAGCAGGAAAAAGCAATCGTGGGGTGCGATAGAGAGGCGAGGCGAGCGCTCAGCCGCCTGAAGAAAAAGCCAAGAGACTTAACCTTTTTCCCACCGCCATTTCTTATCCATTAGCCCAGTCTCAAAGGGATCCGCCCTGAGGGCTGTCAGGCTGTGGCGCGATGCGCGGAGAGAGAAAACTTGCGGGACTTCGGCACTGCTTTTCCCGAAATGCTTTGCGCGGACCCCGTGACGCGGGGGGGAGCGGGCTGGGACTAACCGCGGCGGACTACGGCTCCCATAGTGCATTGCGAGGGGGGAGAAAAGCCGTTGTCAGGGTGAGGGGCCTTGGACCTGCCGAAGCACCGAGGACTCACGAAACCCTTCGTCCCCCGACACGGCAGACGAGAAGCGCGGGTACCCAACCAGGTGATCGATGCCTCGGCCCCAAGAGCCGTCGGGAGCGCTCAGGTGGTCTTCGGTGAAGGCCCGACACGCTTCCCGTCATGCACCGCTCTGCCCTCGAAAGGACTTGTGGAAGTTGTAGTTTGCGCTGCTGGATGCCTGGGAGTCAGAAATCGCAGCCTGCTCTATTAGCTCTGCTAAAACTGCGCTCAAACTTCTGTTTTGTCCCGAAATTGTTTGCTTGAAGGGTCAATAGCAACCAGCCATGTTATACATTTGCACGTTTAAAATATTTGTCCACCAAACGGAGGGCGAGGCAATAATATAGCCTTCCCCGCTTTATTTTGCAAGAATCCAGGGAAGGAGTAGATGGCAATGCAATAGCTTAGTATAGCCTTTATATATCATGTATTCAACGAAATTAGTTTTAGCCTCGCTGGTGCAATCCATGACAAAAAAAAATACAAACAACATAAATAGTATAACGAATAATCCCCATGCGAGTAATTAGGAAACAAAGAAAGAAAAACTAGTCATATGTTTCCATGTGTGCGTGGAGTGATTGTGGTTGTGTTTAAACCACAATCATTCCACGCACACACGGAAACATGACTAGCCACAAGGATAGAAACTATTTTAAAACCTATTCGTTCGGCTGGCTCTGCTTCGATGTCTTCTGCCCTATGGTAGAAGTGCGAAGAGACACTGACCAGGGTGTGAATCATCTCTGGGTATCTTCCTTACTCTGTTCAATAGCAATAGCAATAGCAGTTAGACTTATACACCGCTTCATAGGGCTTTCAGCCCTCTCTAAGCGGTTTACAGAGTCAGCATATTGCCCCCAA